TATCAAGAGGAATGAATGCATGTATAAAAGAGAGGAAGGAATGCTTGATATTCACTTGGACATGGAGGACTTTCCCGTGGACACATTTAGAACTCGACATGGGGCATCGCCATTACTCCTGTCGTCGGCGATGAAGCGCGGGTGGCTCCAGCGATCGATCCTCGAATCGAACCACACCATCTTCGAGGGCGACCCCGTTCAAGTCAAACTCTTCACCTCCAACACACGCAAGTTTGGCAACCCGCAAATGCCGGCCCAGGAATTCTACACGGCGACTTTGTCGCGCGCCTAGTTCCCGACCTAGCTCGCCTCCTCGGCGATGCCTAGAAGCGCCTGCTGGCGCTCTGTGAGAGCGCGCCAGGGTGGCAGCGGTTCGCCGGTCGCGCGTAGTAGTCGATGCCATCTGTGGACGTCAACATGGATGAACGGGAATGGTCCCACCTGATACGAATGAAGGGACCAGGTAACCCTGTTGGAATAGAGGCTTGACTCGACGTCTGCGAGCTCTCTCGCTGAGCCAAATCACCACTCGACTCTGTTCTTCAAGCAACTTCCGCTCGCAACCAGTCCACAGGTCGACTGGCGTAGCTGACGCTAGTCGTCCGAGTGCATAGGCCAAACCTAGAGCTGCTGCCATGGTCTCGTCGAGCGATCTTGGCGTAGAGTTCGGTCGTGATCGACGGAGGCTTTCGAATAACCCTGTGCTCCCCATCCTCAACACCCGGCAGTACAACAGTGGGTCGGTCGCAACACTCGCCCTGACATCTCGTTCGCATGGCACCACGCGCTTCTCACCGAGTCATGACGATCCAGTCGGCGACATGTCATTGCCATGACTGGCATGCATTTGTTACTGGAGATATCTCAACAAGGGTGGCGATAACATGACGGTTTGTGGATGGCGCCAGACACCAAGATCGTCAGGGCTGCCGGTCATCGTCGAATACATACGTCGTAGGGTGGCGCTGGGGACGTCAGCGGAATGGCTTCTATCGTTTCACGACCATGAACGAACTCTTGGACCCAGTACAGTCAACTTGATAAAAACTCGACAGAGTGGTACTGAATAAAATTGAGCATCCGATGAGCAATGCCAATTCGGCGAAATATAGTCACAATTACACTTCACGCAGTGATTGGATAAATACCAATTGAATTTTAAT